GCAAGTCGCGGGTGCTCCCGCGGCAGGGACGGCCCCGCGGCGCCAGGCGCTGCCCTGCCCCGTGCCCAGGAGCGCTCTGCGGCGCTGCAGGAGGGCGCTCGGGGCCACAGGGCGCTGGGGGCACGGCGGGAAGGATGCTCCCGAGCTGGGGAGCCTCGCTGTTTGCCACACTGCTCGGCGCCAGCAGCCACGAGGCAGCCGCCAGCCTGCGAGCGCTGGTATTTGCTGGGGTTAATCCCATGTAATCCCAGGTGCTGCTGCCAGGTCTGGGGATTAGCCAGGGCAGCGTGTGCCGGCGCAGAGCCGGAGCCGCGGGGCTCTCTGCGGGGAAAGAGGATTGTCCAAAGAGGTCAACAGGGGAGGGGGCTGGGATGTAGCAGCTCCCTCCGAGCTGGGGCAGGCACCAAACAAGCCCTCGAGCTCCTCCTCACCCCTCAGCTTCAAGGCAGAGGGCCGGGGCTGGGGGAAGGAACGGAGTCCCAGGGGGGCCTGAGCGAGCTCCCGCGTTTCTGCCGCTCGGTCTCATGCCGCTCCCGGCTTCGCCGCCCTCCTGGGAGCAGAGGGGTTCCCGGGAACACCCGCAGAGCTGCTCGCAGGCTGGGCCTTCCCCTCACCAGCAGTTTCCAAACAGTTTCCAGGGCAGCACAAAACGTGTGGGGGCAAATTCCGGCCCTCCCCTGCTGCCCAGCATGCGGGAGAGGGGCTGAAGGGAGCCAGGGGCGCTGGCAGCAAAGCGCGGGGCCAGTGCCGTGTCCACGTGGCCCTGGGGGACACTGGCGGCCCGGGGCCCATCACACCTACCATGACCCACACGTGGAAGGTGATGCTGAGTGCCAGGTAGGCCGCTGACAGCAGGATGGTCCCCTTGAACTTGTGAAAGAGGAGGTTCACCAGGCCAGCCTGGAAGACGAAGGTGTTGAAGAACATGAGGAAGATGATGATGACGTTGAAGAGGATGGCAATGTCCTGGATGCTGCAGGAGGGGAGAGATGGCGTAAGCACCCATGGGGTACGAGGGACCCCATGTCTTGCCTGTCCCCCACTGCTGGTCTGCCCGGCACTCACATGAAGAGGACAAGCTGGACAGCAGGGGCTGTGCGGAGCAGCTCGGAGAAGGAGTTGACAAACAGGTCGTAGAAAAGCAGAAGGAATTGCACGAACAGCACCAC